ATCCGGAAGTTTACCATCTTTGGTTCTGGATGGGGTTGCACTACCCCAGACAGACCCAGTGCATAATCTGGGGTCCTCCTGGACTCACGACTCCTGCTCAAAGAGCAGGTGGCAGTCATGGCCAGGAAGGCCTTTGCTCAACTACGTGTTGTGTACCAGTTATGCCCTTTTCTGGATGGGGAGTCCCTCCAGTCAGTCACACATGCCCTAGTCATCTCCTGTATAGACTACTGTAATGAGCTGTACACGGGACTACCCTTGAAAAGTATCTGGAAGCTTCAGCTGGTTCAAAATGCAGCCACACGGGCAATTTTAGGTGCCCCAAAGATGGCATATGTTACACCTTTGCTGCGTGAGCTGCATTGGGTCCCAGTTTGCTTCCGGGTCCAATTCAAGATGTTGGTTATCACTTTCAAAGCCCTACATGGCATGGGACCGGGCTACCTGAGGGACCGTCTCATCTATATCTACCCGTCCCACCTGGTCAGGCAGAGAGGGTATGCTGCGGATCCTATCAATGAAAGAATGTTGACTAGCGGGATCCAGAAAGAGAGTCTTCTCTGCCGTGGCCCCTGCCCTATAGAATACTTTCCCCCCAGAGGTGAGGCAGGCCCCAACTCTCTTGTCCTTCCGGAAAGCAGTCAAGACCTGGCTCTGCCAACTGGCTTGGGGCAAAAAAAGGGGCAACCAACCCTGGGGGTGGCTAGCACCTTGAAGATGCTCCCATATGTTCAACATCTTGGAAGATATTATTTGTGTATGTGTTTGGTTTTATTGTATTTTTACTGTATTTTTGTACTGTTTTTATTGTATTTTAATTAATATTTATTGTTGTTTTATTGTGAAGTGCCCAGAGTCGCTTCTTTGTGAGATGGGCGGTATCTAAATTTGAAATATAAATAAATATTGCCCTGAAAGTAGTGGTTTCATATGCTGAACTAAGCTAGGGACTACCTGCATACCAACCAGGGGACAGGGACATCCCCACCTCCTCTAAATACCACCCAGGGATCACCAGAATGGCTATATTAGATTTTGGTCAGTCTTGTGGAATTTTGGAGTCCTTGCAAGAAGTCTTATGAGATCTTGTAGAAGAATATCAACATCTCAAATTCTAGGCAAGAAGTCCAAAAACTTGCAAGGTAGAGAGGACTGCAACGTTGTGTGGTGGCACTTGACCCTTCACTAAGCCATAATGGGGTTTGTTTGTTTGTTTTGGTTTAATTTATTTTGTGAACCCAGTAGTTGTTGATTGTGGGTCATAGCTGATGGCTTAATATTATGTTAGAACCTCTGTAGATAAAAGAAACAAGAACTTAGCACTACTGGCATCTGCAGGCGGGCAAGTAATGTCACATGCATTATGATGGTATAGTGGAAATATAATTTTGCATTATTTGTATGATGACATCATGATACACATTCTGACTTACATTAGTTGCCTACGCTTAGCACAATGCGAGAACACTGAGCCTCTGTCTGTATGAATGTTAAGAGTTAGTATACCAAATTGTCTGAGTTGTTTAAGATACATATTCTCTCATATCCTAAATTACCATGTTTGCAGCATAGGGCTAATAATGGTCTGCTGTAATATAAATAACAAGAATCACTCAGTAATGTGTGTAAACCTTTAAAGTGCTTTTTAGAACATTCTGTGGATGCTGCTTATATGTTTCCAATCTGACAAGCTGGTATAGACTATGGAACATATGTTCTGTGTTTAATGCTTTTGGTGTGTATGAATAGAATCGGCAGCTGGTGTCTTCAGTAAATATCTTTTTAGTAGCATAGCACTCAAAGAGGATAGTGATACAGGTAAATCATTGATCAGATTTCATGTTCAATATGTAGGTGTGTACAGCACTAGGCAATCTGGTGCCCTTCTATAGCTCCAGCCAGCAAAAGATTATGGAAGTCACAGTTGCAAACATTTACAGATCATGAAGTTGTGGATCCTGGTCTCTTTTATAAACATTTATTAAAACTTCTATAGCGTACTTCTCAACCCTCAAGCACAGACACATATTATGTTTAATAAGCAGAAATAAAAACGTCAGCCCTTAAACTAATACATTCTTAATCAACATTTCTTAAGTTTTAAACCTCCAGGCTAAGGGTGCTGCCACAGAAAAAGGCCTGTCCTAGTGCCCATCATGTAGGACTTGTAAGAGGCTTTAGATAAACACTGTAAAATATAGGCATATTCATAAGGCAACCTGGCCTTTTCATTACTTTCCAAGCACTTCTTTTAACAAAGAACTACTGCTACTGCTAGCTGAAAATCTCTTGGTGTGCAGAATGATATAATTGAGCTTTCTCCAAGCTGATGTTCTGGATATGTGTTGGAGGACTTCAACTCCCTTAGTTCCCAGCCAGCCTCTTGTAAGAATTAGTCTAATACATCTGGAAACCATTGGATTGGGGAAGTTGTTATGTTCTCTACAAAAACAAAGAGGCATGATCCCTAATTTTAAATTGGCAATAAGGATAAGGAAAAGACTATGGTAGTTGTTTCTTTGGGTAGCTTCTTACATATACAGTAAGGACTGAAGACCAGTAGCCAAAGAGACTGACTAATGCGCTTTTCTTTGTCTCTGTTTGCCTTCCTCCCTTTTCACAATTACAGGGTGTAAGCCTGAGCAACAGATGATGTATGCTGGTAGCAAAAATAAATTAGTACAAACAGCAGAACTCACAAAGGTAAAACCAAAGCAAACCTTGAATGCATTTGTTGTGAACTTGATGTGTTCCCTCTTGCCCCAAAGAGTCTGTCAATTCAAATACTGATATTCTCAGGATGTACATAATTTGGTACTTATCAAAATTGTTTCCAGAGAAAGCTGAACTTTGTAACATGTACTATAACCTTTCCAAAATCGCTGTTCTCCAGGATGGGTTCAAATGCAGCTCCATGTTCATTGGAGACTTGGCTGGTGAATATTTATCTTTACTTAAGATAAAAACTAAAAATGATATTTTATTTGGCTTCCTATAGCCAGGGGTGGGTCCTGGGATGCATATAGCCTAATGTATAATCCTTGGAGTGCTCTTTGAACATAATTGTTGAAAACCAACAGCAGAATTTCTGTCAATTAGAGACAGAAAGCTGTAGCTTATCCCCTGAAATAAGCATAATACCATTAAAAAATTTTTTTTAAAAAAATCCTTCAACTTCTTTCCAAAGCCCAACTCTATCTATGTGGGTGTGGTGGGCTTACCCACTCTCAGCCCCCCAGCTCAGAGTGTTTTCTCACAATGTTTTCTCCAAAATTGAGTTTGTGACTCTAAAAAGTAGTAATTAAAATGACTGGAAATGAAAACTGAAGTTCCTTTCAGTGGTGCAAGATGTCTGTTTGAAAGAAGGTGTATAGTCTTGCAGTGCTTCTATTTCTGGTGGGAGAGGGAGAGTCTGAAATCCAGATGGGTTATAGAAGCAGTTGGGAAGGGGCTTCCAACTTTCATTATTCCTGGTTAAGAGGGACAGCTCAAGCTGACTGGTCCACAGTCACTGCAAGCAGAACCTGCCTTGAGGCTTCCCGTGTTTCTGATTGTTCAGGTTTTCTTTTGCTGCTACACCTGTTATTCTTTTCTTTTGCTGCTACACCTGTTCTTCTCTAGCCAAGTACTGACATTTCATATTGTCTTTAACAGAATGTTTTTGGACTCTCTTCTCTTGCCTGCCCAATTTTCCCCTTAGAAGATTCCTAATTTTCATATACATTTTCAATTCCTTCCCTTTTTTGACTGCAGAAGCTGCCTTGTTTTGAGCTAATCAGTCTTATAGGATTTGGGGTGAATGCTTTACATCTTTCATTTTAAACAGTGTCTGAGTGAATAGTCCAATAGTCCACTGAGTGGACAGTATACATCTAAACAGTAGAGAAGTCACAAAAGTAACTAAAACTGCTGCATTCACCTTCCCTTCCCAGCCTTGTGTTGTTTCTTTTTTTTGCTTCAGGAATCTTGGGGTAGGCCTGGGTAGGCAACTTGGTGCACTCCATGTTTCTTGGGCTATGGCTCCCACAAGAGGCTGATGCATGTCTGAAGTATCTTGAGGGAGCACAAGGTTGCAGTAAAGAATTAAGCAACTTTGCACTGTACTTTCCATATAGTTGACCTTCCTCTTTTTTTCATTCCTAGCTGGTGAGCCTCAAGAGAAAATCCTAGACCTTTAAGCCACAGATGAAACTTTGTATGACTAAATGTTCCCTATAGTAATAAAAAATACATCCCTATACATAAAAAACTAAAATGCGGGGGAGGAGGTTCTGACTGAGCCTTCTCCTTGATCTGCTGTCCTTCTCCAAGGAAGGAATGGAGTTCTATCCTGCAACCAAAAATGTTCTGTCCTGATCTCAAGTGTCCTGTGTCTGTGGGAATGGGAACTAGGCCCTAAGATAGAACTGTAGTTTGACCTGCTGATACGTCATTTTGAAGGCCCCAAACCAAATGGCAACATATTTTTTTTTAAATGTCCAACATTAGCCGTTTCTAGGCCAAGGATAGATGATTGTGTGCTGGTCTTCTCAGCTCTAAATCTCTCCTGGACAAATTTATCTGCATCAGTAGTAGTAGATTTCTACATCAAAGTTAAATTAAAAATATGTTGCAATAATATCTGTTTCTTATCCCCTTTTGGGCTGGATGACTTGCCTTTTTGGCTCAGTGCATACAGCATGCTAACCCATAATGTAATTTGTGTGGGTTTGGCTTCGTGTGTTGTATCAGCATAGTCAGTTGTGATTTATCCTTTTAACCATATCCTGGTGCACTTGCTGAAGCTATTTTTGTTTTGGGTCTTTTTCCCAGGTATTTGAAATCAGGAATACAGAAGATCTCACTGAGGAATGGCTTCAGGAGAAGCTTGGCTACTTCCACTAAAAGAAGGATTAAGCATTCCATCCGGTTCAAACTGGAACCAGACACAACTCCTGCTTTCTAAACCTACTAAGAATGCACTGTACTTACAGTTGTTTCCTGCAGTGTTTGTATGTATGTACATATATATGTATATATTTGTCTGTGCAAAAGTTATATACATGAGGGGAAGAGGCATCTTCTACTTAACCAAACTTTGCCCAGGATTATTCCTTTCCTTCTAATTGTGTAAAAGGGAACAATTCTCTTCCTGCAGGGATAATTTTTTTTTTTTGCACTCACATGACTAATATTTCTATCTGGACTGATTCAGAACTGGTAATTGTTTACAGCTCTGGGGCAGTCTCCAAAGGGACACATTGTGCACTAGCTCTTGCTCACATTAACGGGCTGTGTTAGGGGTGTACTCGGTCAAGTAGTCTCAAAACTTACAGATTTTTTTTTCTCCCTTGAGCTACAAGTGCATCTTCTTTTAATAGAAACTAGACATTAATCATTAATAACTTGACATAATAGTATGTGAAAATAACATTGAATCCAGAGGCATGAAAACTTTTGAATTGGGCCCAACATATTTTGGGACAGGTACTTACATTTTAGTATGGTTCCTAACTTCTCCAGATGGGGGTTTTCTTTTCTTTTAAAAAAAAAATCCAATTATTTTGAATCTTGTATTTCCACTTTGGGTCAAAGGTTTGACACTATTTTTGTGTGTGTAGAAGATAGCATTTTTACTAATCAAATAGAAAGTAGATTTAAAGCAACCTCTAAGGGCTTGGTAACATACTGTAGTGGACTTCCATTCCAAAAGTCTTTATATGTAGATCTATTAATATAAAAGTCTTGACTTTTCTTGACTTTTTATGCAAGCACTTCTCAATCTGTGTGCCTTTTAAGAAAAAAAAATCTATCAAATGATTGTAAGAAAGTCTTACACTGCCAGGTTTTTTTTAAATATTAAATTTGATACAGGTTAACTTTGTCTAAAAGAATTGCCCTACCAGCATCTTAATCTCTGTTTCCATTAACTTCAGCTGCAGGTGCATACCTTCTGGTTTACACTATGATTTAAAGCAAAATTATCTGCCCAGCTAAAAAATATAATTACAAGTCAATACATAATCTCAAGTTAATCAGTGTCTACCACAACTCTGCATTCTGTATCTTAATAGAGCTGTCTATTGATTCTCACAAGTGCAGGGGAGGAAAAAAGTAATACATAGCATGCAGAATTTGGCTTCCTTGACTACCTTGGTTTCCTTTTTGTACTTTAAAAATATGTAGGCAATGCCTTCTCAGAAGCCAGAGGAATACTCATTGCAATGCATGGGGGAAAGCAGAGTCTTGGTGTCCTACTTAACACCTTGTGCTTCTCCTTAACTAGACTTTGACAATAACATATGCAGATCGCAGAATCCCACCTTCCTTGATCAGCAACTTGAAGCTGCAAAACTTGACTCTCCCTTCAATGGAGGGCATGCACGATCTTGCCTATAAACTGGCAATATAGGCTTTAGAGATAGACAGGTGAGACCTTTTCTGTCTACTATTGTTATGGTTTATCTAGGAATGAGATTCCCAAGAGCTGGGGTAGCTCCTCCTGAGAAAGGAGCAGAAATATACTGTATGTTATTCCCTAACCCGATAGCTAGTTGATCAAACTCTACATGAGTTTTCATCAGCGTGTTGCACTGTACATGTATTATAACTGCATCATTTCAAAATCTCAACACATCCTAGGTCATCTAGTTGGGCAAAATTACAAATACTGTATACTGAATCTGATACTAATTGGCATCAGTGGGATCATAACTCCAGTAACATGAATTCTGGACATTTGTGGGGTTTTCCTTCAACTTGTAAAATTAAAATGTGAACTTTCCTGGAAGCTTAGAAGTAATAGTTGTACATTAAGGTTGATGGGACCAATGAGAGAAAATTGCATCGCTAACACACTGTAGGGTAGGATTTGCAAGTAGCCAGTTTTTATGTTGAGGGGAGGAAATATCTTCTAATGCAGATGTCTCTAACTATGCATCCTTTAGATGTCTTTGGGTGAGTATACTCATCAACTCCAGTCAGCATTATGGGAATGATGAAGATTGTAGTCTACCACATTTGGAGAGCACAGATTGGGGAAGGCTGTTCTCTGGAAAAACTTGGTAGATGGATATAGTTCATGAACTGTAAGCTGTTTTTCTCATGGCCAGGACAAAGGAAGAGGCAGTAGTCTTTCCATTTTAGTAGATCAGTTCAGTTCTTGTCCACTTTAGTGAAATAGAGCCATGCAGTGATTGTGTTGTGCTTTTTGGGTACACGTGTGTGTGTGTTGCCTAATTCTGAAAGCTGTTTACTTGCATAGCAACAGATAGAATTGGGCTGTTCATATTTAAAGAGGGCAGTTGATACCGATAGCAAAAACTGAGCCTAGACTTTTAAAATAACATGTTGAGGCAGACCTTTATTAAATGACATAGAAAAGTATTATTAGCTATCTTTATTTTCTTTCTTCAATGGCTATCTTCTGTCTTCGTTAGTAAGAAAATATAATCCATCTTGGGCATTTGTTTTTGTTTTATATAATTTTAAACATACACACTCCCCATTTTCTTAAAGTTGTGGAGTGGAAGAACCATCAAGATAAATGTACTTTTAAAATTTATATGAATAACTTAGGATTCTTTTTGTTAGAGATTAACCCTGCAAAAAAAGTCTGCAAAAAGGCACACTTCAATAGTATTTCAAGTTTATTACTTGATAGGATTTATTCAAGAGATGTTCTGAAGCCACTCTGAGCTCTTTGGAGGAAGAATATTTTCTTTGCATTTTTCCTATAAACAGCCATTTCTATGCAAGACTTGGAACTGAAGTTCTAATTTTTGGGGAGTTTGTAAAAGTGACTATAAATACCTAAAATAAATCTTGTATTCTCTGAGAAAGTAAAAACCCAGATTTTCATGCCATGAATGCTATATTGGAAGTATGAATTTTATGCAGATAACCCTTCCAAAGAACCACGTCTATGGAGGCCCTTTGTAAATCCAGGGCGTCTTGCAAGAGATCAGTTGCCCTCTGGTCTAATTGTTCCATCTTGAGTGACATTCCAATGAACTGCAGCTGTGTTAGCCCTAGAATATTAAAATAATACAGCTGCATAAACTATTTTACATGGATTTTGGGGGGCCAGATTTGTCCTTTGGCTGAAGAAGGATATACATAGGCATCCTTCTTCAAGCACAAAATATATCTGAAGATTCTTTTGTGCTTATCTGCCTTCTCAACCACTCCTTTGTTAGTCTTTATAATGAGTGTTTTTCCTAGGACATTTTTTTCTTATGCATCCAAATGACTGATCCTGTGCAGTCCCTCATCTAAGTTGATCATCCTTGGATGCTCTTAATTTGATAAGTTGTTTTCCTGCCTTTTACTAGAGCAGACTCCATCAGCTCAAGAACTGTATCCAGCTTTTTGTGAGTCATACTCCAGAGGTTGGTGGGGTTAGGTTCTGTTTTGGGTAGGTGTTGTCAGAATTTTAAGAGATAAATTGAGCACATGCAAAGTGTAAATCACCTATTTTGCGACTTAAAATCCCCCAGAAAGCAGAAAAGGGGGCAGGCTACTCAGTCTTGAAGGGTTCTGAGGGACATAAAATAAATGCTGGCATGCTACATGTTGTTCCTGGGCCATGCTTGTGCCCCCTCTGGTGTAGGGTAAAATGGAGGCTGAAGACAGTCTGGAAAATGAATAATCCTGTCAGAAGCATTTAAAAATTAAAAAGTACTGTAATATCCATGCAGTGGCATGAAAAGTTTGGCAAGAAAGGACACGTGGCTGAGAACTCCTTGGAATTATGTTTTGGTCAAAGTCAGTGAAGGAAATTGTAGGCTTGATCTTAGGTTTAAAGAAATTGAGACAGCTTCACAGTTGTGGATGTTCTTTTCTTTTCTAAGAAATTATTTCTCCCCACTCTGCCCCAGTCTTTCTTTCTTTGATGTCTTTTGGGGGGTATAATGTGAACCATACTTATTTCTAACTGGAATTCTTTTTGCAGTCTGGAAACCTCGGCATCCTGTGCTAAGAGGGGGGTTTTTTTTGGTCTTTTTTTTGCTGCTCTTCCCCTTCCCCTCTATTTGGATCTTGAAGGAGCATCGTGTGAAGAATTTCCACCAAAATATATAGTTGTAACAATTCTTTGAAGTACTAACTTGTTTAAATCAAATCTTCTTATGGTGGTTTTAATAAGCAAAAACTACTTGTAAAAAGTAATAATACAGTGGGATGATAAACTTTAAAAACGGTTCCATTTCCAGTCTGTTTCTAGTAGTACTTCTCTTTGATCTCTTTTAGATGAGAGTTGTCAGTATTTCAAATCAGGACCAAATACTGGGGACCTGTCATGATTCTAAATATCACAGCCTTAAAACTTGATTTTGAAATCTTTTTCTCCTTAAGCCTTTTCACATATTACAAATACATAGTACAGGTTTGTTGTAGCATATAAACAGAAAGATCCAAGCAAAGTGGAAAAGTCACATAATTAATATCTGTGTCTTTAATATTCACATGTTGCAATTGTATGAACGAATTGTATGAGTTTATTCCCTTTTTCTGTACAAGCTTGTTTGAACTTAAGAAATCACATCTTTATGCTTTATTGATAGTGCAGTATTCACTGGATAAAATGTGAAACTAGCATTTGTGAATTTTTCCTGCTTTCTATTAATCAACACTAATCAGCCCTTGTGAAAACCTGTGTGATTTAATTCATACTTCTCTAGTGTGACCCCTTCCAGATGTGTTGGGTGGTATCAGATTAGGGAAAGCTGATCTAAGTGAATAGACATGGCTTGTTATGTATATGGAAGAATGTATTTTCTAGCTGATGGAAGGTTATGTTCTTGTGTGTAACATGTGAAAAGGCTTTCATAAGAGCATGCAGGGTTTTAAAAAAATGAGGATCAGTCTACTAATAAAACTGGATAGATTCCTAAAGTTCTGGCAGCTGTGCACCAGCTTAAATGTTTGTGTTGAAATCAGATATATCAGTACTGTATGAAACACCTTTTAGGAAAGGATAGTGCCAACCAATTTGGGAGCAGTAATTTGGTGCACACTTTGTAAATGTGCGAAGTTGCAAAGCTATTGAGAAAGGATAGTTGAAGCACAGAGGATAAAGTTGTAACCAAGCCAATTATAGCTCCCTTGCCATCTCTTCTACTTGCACCTGAAGAGTATGAGCTGTAGCATCTATAGTTCAGTCTCTCCTTGAGCCAAGGCTTCTTTTGGGCCTTTGGCATAGAATTCTTCCTTGGTAATACTGGACCATTAGTTCATCTGGCTAAATATCTGGTACAATAACCTACCCCAACTGGTATCCTCCAGATGTATCCAGATGATATATCCCTGAATTTCCAACCAGTATACTAGCTAAGATTCTTGGAACGGTAGTCCCAACACATCTGGAGGGTGCCAAATTGGAGAAGGTTCATGTACACTGATCCCTGGAATTTCTTTCTTAACCAACTTGAAAAAGGCTGCAGATTGAACTCAGGACCCTCTTCACTCTCTCTTGCTTCACTGCAGCTCAACTCCCCTCCCCAAATCTGCAAATTGTTGATGAGAATATTGGCCTCTTTACGAGAATATATTATCAAGTATTGACTTAATATAATTAAACATTTCTAATACCGAAAATGTATTCTGTATAAGACAACAGCAACAGTATATTGTCGAAAGGAAAATGCTTCTGTGTGAAGAAGGCATCCGGATCTTGAGTGACAACTACAGTATGTGCTTTTATTGTTCAGTGAGCTGACTGACTGACTGGAGAAGTCCTACAGTTCTATGAAACTATCCAGCTTGACAAGGTGTTGCAGTGTCTGTTTTTTTTTTAATGCTCTATTTAGTTGATTTTGCATGTTTTTTTAAACCATTTTTTTCTTTTTGTTTGGTAAAGCATGGAGCTTGTATTGGTATAAATGATCATACAACGTTAATAAAGCCTGTCAAACTTCCTGTCTTTTATTTTTAATGTGATAGAATAAGCTTGAAGCTGGGAAAAAAAACTAGAGTGGCATGGCAAAAAGAAGAATATAGAACCTTTGAATAAGAGCTCTTCCTATCCAGGATCTGCCATTTGACAACAGATTGACTGTTGTAATTTGTGTAATTTAAGACAAAATATATAACAGGATGGGTTGCTGACCCAGTCTGGGCATGCATCATTAGCTTCTGAGGGACAAAGAAGTCAGCCCCTGCTTGTATTGAATACAAATTGCCATTTTCTCCCATCCAGACCACTGAAGGAAAAATTTGTAAAAGAAAAAGTGACAAATTTAAGCCTATGCAGAACTGGCCAGAGACTGTTGTTCCTTTTTCACTTGCAATAGTCATGGTTGTATATCAGACTCATTTGCACATGCTCAGGAGAAATCTGTTGTTTAAGTTGCAGACATTGAGAACAGGTGTTTAAAGAAGTTCCAGGACAAATCAGACTCATCTGTTATTCAGATCTGGGGTGATACTGAATGTTTCCATTTACAGGTGACATATGCTGGGAGTTCAGGAATGGGAATGTCAAGTTTAGGAAGGTCTGCGTAGTACACAGTTATGTAGCTGGAGATCTACGTTCACTGTAACTAATCCAGAAAGAAATCTTAGGAGATACAGTGGCACGTTCCTTGTGAAAACTTAAGTTCAGTATGTTTTTCCACAGTGCGGAAAGATCTAGAAAATAAAACAAGCTTGTACTTACAGAGAGTTGTTCTGTTCACCTAATTGAAATATTCTGTGCACCTTTGAGGACTCCATCTCAAGAAACATATTGTGGAAATTCAGTACTTTTTTACTTACAGATGTAATTCATATCATGAAATTACTGGCTATTGGATGTGGTTGCCAACAAAGCTTCTAAGAAAGAGCAGGTAAGTCCAAAGAAACCAAATGGGTCATTTATGATCTTCCTGGGGACACCTGGGTGAACAGCACAATAAATAGGAAATGTGGGAGATCACCTCTAAAGTGTTTTAAGTAATTAAGGAAGTGCTTCTACATGCATGCAAACAACCTTTTTTTCTCCACTGATCTTCAGATTTGCCATACCAGAAGCTGCTCTCAAAATAATACAGGTAGTCCTCATTTAATAGCCATTCGTTTAGTGACTGTTCGTAGTTGCAGTGGTGCTGAACAAAGGGACTTACAACCAGTCCTCACACTTATAACCGTTGCAGCACCCCTGCAGTCATGTGATTGCAATCTGGATGCTTGGCAACCTGCCCAGAGTCCCCTATTGTAGGGGAGATAGGTGGGAGAGAAATCAAATAAAAATAAATGAATAAACCAGCTTGCACTTATGACAGTTGCAGCATTTTGAGGTGACATGACCTTCCCAGCGAGCTTCTGGCAAGCAAAATCAGTGGGGAACTCTGTGATTTGCTTAACAACTGTGTGATTCACTTAATGACCACTGCAAAAAAGGTGGTAAAATCGGGCCCTAACCCTAACCGTCCCGCTCAACAACGAATTTCCTGGTCCCTATTGTTGTTAAGTGAGGACTACCTGTATACGTACTAGAGAGGAAGCACCAGTGATTCAGAAACAGGTGGATTTTCCAGTGAGTAGTTTCTTCACCCTCAAAATGTTCTTTCTATTTTTGGCAGGTACCTGACCGGCAGATCCCACCTCATTTCTTCCTCCTGTCCCACAGTCCTTGTGTGATGGAAAATTGCTGGCACCTGTTGAATTTGGGTGAAGTAGTTTTGGGAAATTCCTAATCAAGCCAAGGGTGGAAATAAATTATTCTCTATCATTCCTTTCAACAAAACCTCCACCCCCACCAACACTGGCAGGACGTGCCACAGTATATAAACAGAGCAAACCCCATCCCATTCTAGCACTGAAGATGTTACCTAGCTGGCCAATGAAACATTTGCGAGAAAAGAACCAAGCTCAGAGAGCCCCAAGGACTCCACATTCCTTTCTTATTTATACAGCAGTAAAAATTTTCCTTGGAAGACCAATGTTCCATTTTCATTTGCTGGCATTTATTTGATCCATTGACAAACTACCGTATAGTAAAAGCTACCTGGGATGCCATATAATTTAAAATTCAACTTTTTTTAAAAAAATATTGCTTGAGGCAAAGGACAAAATGCATTCCCACACAAAGATACCAACTGCGCTAGCTGCTGAATCTTACCAGGCATTGCCTGTCACTTTAGGGACCACACCAAATCTCAAATGAAGCTCAGGTCTCACAACATTTTTGCTGCGCTCTCTCCCCCCACCTCATTTTTTAGCTGGGATTCCCAATGCAACAGCTGAGCCCCACACTGCCAAGAGACATCTCCCCTAAGAGCCGTACAATTACAAAGCTATTCAAGTAATAAAGCTTTGTGTAAACTCTCATCTCATGGAGAAATGTACCTATATGGTCACTTGATGGCAGATAACCAACCAACTTGTCACCACACCCCCACACCAACTCAGAGGTGCTCCAAAGATTTCTCCACTGTCAAAATTGTAGGACAGCCCTGTTAGTCTATGATAGCCCATAATCACTGTTTCCAACTAACATCATTCACAAGCATAAGCTTTTATGAGCTAAAGCTCCTTTCAGCAGATGCTTTGAGCAGCGAACAGATGTAGGATTTAAACTGGGATGAGGGGGGGAAAGGAAGGAGAGAGATGTGGGTTACGCAGATGCAAGTTATATGCGAGACAGATTAAAGGTTGCCCAGCCTTTGCAGTATCAAGAGATGCTGGTTAGGAAAGAAAATGTGAATTTAAAAAATGGAGGCCATCCACAGCAAAAGGGTCTCACCTTTCCTACCCAGAATGTGGGAGTTATGGAGTTCACCCCACACCCAAGGACCAAACTGGGGGAAAGTAACAGTGAGAGTAAAAATAAAATGAAGATAAAATGAACTGTCCAGATAAAAAACTGAATTCTGAAAAAAAAGAGTACATGCTTCCACGAAAGCAACACTCTTATTTCATGTACTTATAAATGTCAATGACATAATTCATTTTATATTTTTAAACAGAACTGGATTTTTAATTTAATCAAACCTTAAACGTACAGAAGGAGCATCCTTTAGTAACGACCCATCCAGGACTGCTATAAACCCATTCCTAATAAAACATGTTGAAGAACCCGGGCAAATACAAAACGAGCCCTTTTCCTGGGGTTGGAAAAACGATTCCGAGTTGTAATCGAGCCAGGTTCGTGCCCTCTTCCGTAGCGGCGCGATCTGCAGGTTGTAAACGCCCATCCGTACCGGCGTGACAGTTCCCCGGTGCTCAAGCCCATTCAGGTCCCCCGTTGACCCGGGCACGACCCCTCCTCGCGACGTGTCCTCCCGCTACGCTGCTCTTCCGTGGAAGGAGGAGAAAGAGCGCGCCGGGCGCAACCTCCGTATTGCGGGCGTCACGCGTGAAGCTCACCTCCCGGGGGTGCGAGGAGCAAGCATCCCGGGGTCAGGAGGGAGACGCGTTGCAGTTCCACCGCCCTCCAGCAGCAGCTGCTGAGGCGCGCTCCTTGGGCCCGGGAAGGCGGCGGCCGTGGCTTCCCTCCTCGGTGCGCTTGCGCAATGACGTCAAACGCCTCTGCCGCTCCCCCTCCGGGGCCTCTGCGGCCCCCCTGAATAATCTGGCCCAGAAACTTCCGCGCGCCTCGCCGTCGGGCCGGGCTTTCTTAGTGCCAGCCGCCGCAGCCGCCGCCGCCATGGCGTTCACGTTCGCTGCTTTCTGCTACATGCTGGCGCTGCTCCTCACTGCTGCCCTTATCTTCTTCGCTATATGGCATGTGAGTGGAGGGCAGCGTCTGGTATTCCCGGGGAATCTGGGGCGGTGGGCGTAAAGGAAGGGGGGCGAAGAAGGGGTGAATGTGGACAAGGGGCTGCCTGGAGTTGGGGGGAAGCAAAGGAAGTGCCCGTTCATTTGGGGCGCTCAGTTTTTCAGGGAGGTTAAACCCCAAAGTGGCCACAAAGAACTGGAGAGGCGGGCATTAAAAACTGGCAATTGTGGCGCCACGGCAGGGAAGAGTCAGGCGAGGCACTGCGGGCCCCCAAATCTGAACTTTGCCTCTGTCCTGGTGAGATCGGGGGGTCTTGGGGGGCGTCAGGACATCGACCATGTGCGCAGCGGGCATGAAAAAGGCGCCGTCATAGTTTTCAGCAATTACAAGGCGTGACCGCATTTCAGTATTGCATGTAGTGTCATCTCTGCATCCTTAAAAAAAAAAAAAACTTTTGCGAAACTGGAAAAGGTGCAGAAAAAGAAAGAAGGAAGGATGTTAGAAGGATATTAAAGACTGCATTGTGAAAGTGAATAGGAAGAAATATTTCTTTTTTGTAGTGCTCTACACTTCAGGGAAGTTAAAAGGTATTTAAGTATTGGATTTATATTCCACGTTTGTGTTGTGTTGTGTGGGATATTTGGAGTGATCAGGCTTTAAAAAGATGCCATATTTAGAAAAGATTAAAAACAGGACAGTTAAAATTCAAAAACAAATTACTTCCTGAACCCATAATTAATTTATGGAATTTCATACTGCAGGATATTAGTGATAAGTCCTGTTTGGATGACTTCAAGAGATATTCAGAAGGATCAAGCTCTCAAGTGTGTTAGGGCTGTGCAGAGCTTTTAAAAGATCCTTTGCTGTGAGGAATCTTGATTGGAGCATCTCCACAATCATCCCCGCAAAGTACCTTATTAAGGAAGGGCGGTATCCTGCACAGCCGTGGAATAGAGCAGCTACCTTACTTCTATTTGATCAGCCATAGGGTTCCCTTGTGTGCATAGCAACCTCTTTTGTGAAGTGAAATGACCAATTGAGTTGGCTCAACCCCATCTTGATGCTTTGTCAAAGTGGAGTACCTTGGTATGGCAGGGTTGAAGTGTCCCACTGAAGTAGATCACTGTCATTTTTCACACCACTGGTGGCTCCTGGCATGCTTCCGGTATATTACCACCAGTAACAAGGCAGTTGGACTCTGAATGCCAATTGCCAGGGATTACAACAGGACGGCTGTTAATTCACCGTGATCTTTGTAGGAAGTAAGACACTGAACTAGGTGGCATTTTAGTGTGATACATCTTTTTTTTTTCATGTGTGTGTTTGAAGAATTGAAATTGGACTGATGTGTAGAATAAAGAGGAAAATATGAAAAAAGTAGTAACTTGTGGGGCAAGAGACATCATGGGGTTTGGCCAGGGACTGTTAAAGCTGATTGTGAAATAAAAGGGACTAGAATTGTAGGAGAGGGGAATCTTGGAAGAGGTGAGACTCTGCCTTATTCATGTGGGGAGTGGGTAAATGCATTATGCTGCACAGAATTGTAACATGCTATCTTAATAGTCTCAGGATAAAATGTATCTGTGTGCTTTTGTGTGAAAGTATATTAAGGCTGTTTCTAGCAGGCTTGTGCTGTAGTGGCAGGGCTGAGTGTGTAGGGTGAAAGGTTAGAAGTCTCAGACCACCTCTCCCAGAAGCCCTCTGAGACTACACAGCGTGGCCCCACTTTCTTTCCTTGGTGTAGCTACTACATAGCTACTGCTACAACCACTTATTTTTCAGGGGATGTTTTTACCTGCTGATCTCCCCACAACTTTGATGTTTGAGATAGGGATCTGGCAACCTGTGTACCTTATTGACAAGTAAAAGGAAAAAAAATAAATTCTATAGTGTCATCTTGTGATCTTGTAGCAGGAGATATATGAATAGGAAAATTAGCCCATAGCAGTGAAATCAGAATAAAATCTCATAAGGTATAAACAAAATTAACATTATTTAAAAGATAAAAGATTCCTTTTTGATTTTAAGTAGCCATGTGCAAAACAATTAGTGGTGGAGGAGGAGGTAAAAATAGAGAGATGTGAAAATCAGAGGGAGCATCTCAAGAGAGCCTCCAGTGGAAAAAATACACAAGAAAAGTTAAGACTCTGAGCAGACTATGAGATGTATTGGTCTGTTACCTAAGAGACGCAGTCACTGAGCTTGCATAGAGAAAATACACAACACTGTGTACATCAGAGCCTGTGAAGTTTAAAACATTCCAAAATAAAACTAATTTTATACAGTATTTATAGCTCACACCTGTTACCTAACATTTAAAGATGAACTGATCAATGCAGCAAACATTTCCTAGTTGCTTTCTTGGATTTTTCCAGATTTCCCCCACTCTCCTGGCCTTCTGAAAAGATATAAAAACATGGCTATGCCAGATGGCCTGGGGGCCTGGTGGGGGCTTGCATTGCTGGAACTGGCTGATGGGATGATTGATACTGCTTCCCCCATCTTCTTGATTTGTATATTGCTTTTATAAATTTCTTGCTTGTGGTTTTAATTGGGGGGTATTATATTTTTATTTTTATTCTTTTGGTTTTTAATTGTAAGCCACCCGGAGTCACCCTCTGGGGGAGATGGGCAGCATCTAAATTTAATAGTAAAATAAAAAAAAATTAAAAATTTTAGTAGATTACAATCTCTAATCAGAGTCTCAGGAGCAGTGTCCCTTATCTCCTCTTCTTAGCCCCAGTATGTTGCTTCTCCTTTGGATTTTTTAAAAGGCAAACACTTTTTCTCTGGAGAAGGGTATAGGCCAGGAGGAATCCCCTTTAACTGTGTGCTAAAATAAACACTGTTACCCTGGAGGATCCTGTCTGACACCAAAGGATGTGCATTGGAGAAGACTGCAGCTGACAGTGTGGAGGACTGTGAAGACAGGTTGGCTTCACAGCATATACCCATACTATAAAATAGATGGCATGGACATTTTAATTGGATTAGCTGGTGGGGTCCACAGTCCATTCTTTATTCCTTTATCCTGAAATTACACAAATAATTAAAAACAAATTTTATGTATATATTTTATCAAATTTATAGAGCTACCCAACTTAGTTGAGTCTAAATGGCTTACAATAAAAATAACCAATAAAAATTCCCAATAAGATGGTATCACCTGATAAAAGTTAAAAAAAACAAAAAAGAACAAGTCATGATAATACAGACAATCAAAGAAAACCATTCCTCATCCAGGCCCTGGGGAAAGAGACAAGTCTTCAAAGCCCACTAAAACAACAGCAGGGTTGGGGCAACATAAACCTCTGGATAGATAATATTTCAGAGGACAGGTTTCACAACAGAGAAGGCGTACTTCCTGGGACCCATTAAATGACTTTTTTTTCACTGGTGGGACCTGGAGCATGCCCACTCTGCAGAAGCATACAAGGTGGGCAGCACTCAGAAACGTAATGGTAACCAGCACAGCTCATGCAGCAGAGGTATCACATGGGTGTACTATGATGCGTCCATACCTGCCCATGCAGTTGCATTCTGGACCAGTTTCAGCTTCTGAGTGGTCTTCAAGAACAGCCTATGTAAAGCACATTGCAATAGTCCAAATGTGAGGTGATTAAGGTAGTAGTGACTGTGAGAAGAGAATCTTGATCCAAGTAAGGATGCAACTGGTGCAGCAGACAAATTGGGTGAAGGCCTTTCTGGTTACACCTGCCACCTCCTCCTTGAGCAGGAGCTGAGGATCCAGGAGGATTCCCAAATTGTGCACCAGTTCTATCTGGGGAGGTGCTACCCTGTCCAGAACTAAAGATGAAAAATCCCTGATACTGCGAGAGCCAAAAACCCATAGCCATTCCGTCTGGCCATGGTTGAGTTTAAACCTGTTCCTCCCCATCCAGATCTTCACAGCATCTAAGCACTGGGACATCACTTTGATGACATTGCTTGGTTGGCCCAGGATCAATGTGTATAACTGAATATCATCAGTGTATTGATGGTATTGGACCCTGTATTGGCAGATGACCACACCCAGCAGTTTCATGTAAATATTGAACAAGAGAGGTGAGAGGGTTGAGCTTTGAAGCACCCCACAGATAAGGGGCCAAAGGATCAACCTTCCCTTCTTCCACACCAGCACCAAGTGAAACCAGCCTGAGAGAAAAGAGAACCACTATAACATTGTGCCTCCTAATCCCTCAGAAGGGTATGATGATTGATTGTATTGAAGGCCATTAAGAGATTAAGATTCAGGTTCACACAACCTCCATCCTACCTCCACAAGTGCAGTCAGTGTTGTCCTAGCCTGAAACCCCACTGGAAAGGATCCAGGTAATCCACTTCATCTAAGGCTCTCTGAAACTGCACCCTGACCACTTTCTCAACAACCTTCCTAAGAAAGAGAAGGTTGGAGGTTGGACAAAAGTTGTTCAGAACTGTCATGTCCAACAGTGGCTTTTACAGGGGATGGTGTATCACCACTTTTTTTCAAGACAGATAGCACCATTCCCTGACATAAAGAAACATTTACCACCGATGGATCCAGCCACACACCACCTCCCAGGAAATTTTAATCATCCTGGATGTGCACAGATCTGATAACCAGGTGGTTGGGTTGCTAGAACTCAAGATTCTGTCCACTTCTTCAGGAGTGACAAGGTGAAACACTTCCCAAATAATAGGACCAGATGAAGCCTCAGTCAGTTCACTGTGACTTGCTCAGTCAGAATTCAACTCCAATTCTTATTCAAGGCTGAGTGGGAGGCAAGGATGCTGCTACTGTATAGGGGATATGAGTGAATTCTTAAAATTGTGTTTTAAAAAGCTTAGTTATTTAGTACTACTTGAAGCTAGCTGGATGAGTCAATTCCATAGGAGATTCCCTCAGAATTTGCATCTAGAAGTTAGGCTGTTCTAAATGCTGGACTTTAGAATGGGAAGAGTACTTATACTGTTACCTAACCATTTTAATTTTGTTTTAGATTATAGCTTTTGATGAGCTGAAGACTGACTACAAGAATCCCATAGACCAGTGTAATACTCTTAATCCTGTAAGTTTATATGAGACAGAACTTTCTTCATGAATTCCTAGTTAGGTTTTTTCTTTGTAGATTTATGATGATTTAACATACATATTATTTGATACTACAATATCTAATGGATTTAAGATTTCTAGGTAGAATTGTTTCCCTATATTCTTTCACACTTACCCCCACCCCCCATTCTTGAAATTCTGACTTATTTATCTGCTGGTGAACTTGTCAGTGGTCACACTAACATTCTTTCAATCTGCTTTTTACGTTTTCGGCACAAAGACAGTTGAAAAGGTTAAAAAGATTAAAAGAGTCAAAATTGCATTCAAGGTGTGTACTGCTTTTTAGTTTAATGTCTTAATCCCACAGTCTTCTCTGCTTTCCATTTATTAGGAACATGTCTATATCTATGTTAACTCTTGTTTTGGTCCATGTGCCTGTTCATTTGCTTGTCTTTGTCTATTCAGGGATTGAAATAACTCTTTGAATTTTGCACTTGCTTAGTAAGAGATGGGGAAAACTGTTACATGCTTAAATTCTTCTACAATAATTCAAAGACTAACAGGTTTTGATGTCAACAATTCAATAAATTTGTGTTTATCTAAATGGAAGAAATGTCATATTTCTCCTTAATCAGAATTTGCAAATTTAATTCATATCATGAACCAAGGTTAAGTTGGGATCCTGATTAGAGCTGATACAGATTTAAGTCACAGTTAAGGGAATTCATCCTGGAATTGGGGAGCAGGAATATACTCATTCAGTTCTGGCTTCTTGATTTACAGTAGATTATTTGCATGGCGATAGCTTGGAAATAGTACCTGTAGTGTAATGGTAGAAACAATACCTTTCCCCTATTGCCCACCCTGATCTTAGGGACACTTTTTGCAGGTTCTGCCATGGGTATGTTTAATACCACCAATTCTGTTTTTCCATGTTGTGACAAGTACAGCTGTAGTAGATCTTAGTGAGATACGTGCCCATTTCCAAAATGTTTATATTTAACGTAGTCCTAGTAGGTGGCAGTATTTGGCTGACCTTGTGTGGAGCTGGATGCTAAGCTAGATTTGGACTGGTTAAGACTTGGATGGGAGATCTCTGGGGGAGCCAGGACTGTAGGCTTAACCTGGGAAGTTGACCGAGCATCCCAGAAGTCAGTGGCAAACTATTTCTGTATTGTTGCCAAGACAATTGTATGCACATATCTATGACATCAACAGGAATCAAGCTTGGCTTGAAGACTTTATTGTAGTGTTGAATGGCCTGCAGTTCCTGGGCTTTTTAGAAGGCCTTTCCTGATGGGAATCCAAACTCTGCTTGTCTATGTGATTGGTAAGACGTTATTGTAATCTCCTGCATTTACCTGTTTAGACAGTACCTACCATTCTTTGCTCACATTTATACCAGCAACTCCTTATTCCTTAGAGAACCAAAACAGAGTTTTCCAGCTTCATATGCATTATTCCCACTTTTACTTTAAAATGTTTCTCTTTTGCGTGTTGACAAACTAGTAACAAATTATTGTATACTTGAGAGGCTTGGGAAAGACTGCTATTTCTTTCCATATATTTTTGACATGGACTGACTAGGTAGCATTCCTCTAGAAAATTGTATAAGATATCCCAGATGTCCTGCTGAACCTGAGCCATAGGAACTGGCATAAGTGCTGAATGCAAACTAGTGAACAAGAAAAAATTACTGTGAAGTAAGAGTGACTGCTAAAAGATGTTTCCCCATTTTTCTAATGAAGGAAGAAGTAAACATGGATAGAAGCTGTGCATGGAACAGTTTACCCTACTCGGTTCATCTCTCATTTGTTGTGCGAAGAAGAGAGACTTTCACTACATCTGTGCATCCCTTTATCAGACTTTTAAGAAAAAGATATTACCATATGCATGTTATGCTTCTCTTGGCTATTTGTTTAATTTGATGAGAGCTTTTGCATATTCTTAGTGCAGGGTCTTGGGAATACATGCAGGAAAAAGTAACAACAAAAATAAGAAATTGCCAACAAGTTAGTAGGAATGTTAGCATTACAATGCAGTTTTTGATACTTTATTACTAAATTGCTAAATTTTAAATATTTTTTAATAAATGACTCTTTGATTTTTATTTTGCTTAGTACTACATGCCATGGATGGTCTCATAAACAAGTCGCCATAGACCTGACTTACCTATTCATGGAATGGCTGATCATAAAACACCCCTTATCAGAAGGCAGACTGATGAGGCTATTCCATGCCACTCTCTCTAACCATCCAGATGTTCAAAGACCTTCAGCTTTCCTTTGTGTTGTTTTTGGGCAGTTGGAAACATTTTTCACACGAAGCACTGGCCTGGCTGTTTTTATTATCTAGGAATGTCTGTGGGCCCCATATTATCCTTGAAAATCAAGATGGCACTAGAGGGCTGGTGCTTTGCTTTGCAGTATGCCAGCATCCTGTTTGATTTTTTAAAACAGAGGATTCCAAAAATACAGTATCAGAAGAGGTAGGGAGTTTGTGGTTCCAAGGGAGGCTTCAGCTGTTAACTTGGTCTCCATAGGCATTGCATAGTTTAACCTAGTTTAGCAGAAGTGCAGTTTGAAATTATTGAGCCTATGCTGATTGAAGTCTGTGTTTTTTTTACACTAGATTCATTTGTTTCTGCAAACTCAGATAAATCAAGGAGCATCAAATCATCAATGGCTTTTGTTACAGTGAATAGCTGCACATTTTTTGTTCAGTATAGCTGCCTATAATAGGACCTCATATACTCAGAACTCTCTATATTAGGTTTTTATTGAAAAATATGATGGTAAAGAAATTAATATATTAAAAATATGAACTGGAAATAGGTTTTCTCCAGAACATAAAATCCAGGCTTCTAGAAAGATTGAATATAGACACAGATTTTTTTTCTATCCTATTTGCTCCTGTCTCTGCAGTCAAATTGCTGCTGCTGATATCTGTATACAGTGGTTTGTGCAACAGTTTTAGGCCTGAACCTTTGTGTGTATATAACCTTTGTCTAATGTGCATTGTGCTCTATAACTTCTGCATGCAACAGACAGAACACTATTTGATCGGAATAGTTAGTGAAAGCTAAAAATGGAGAAGAGCAACATAGAATTTGCCCCTCCCAATCAAGTGAATGGAGCATTTTTTTTCCTCCAGAGATTTGAATAGAAACTTCCCCTGAAAACCTTTTTCTGTCTTCTCTTTTTCCCTTCTTCATCTTTGTCTGCCTTCTCCCAGCTATATGAGTGTGAGTTCTGTTTGTCCCATTCCCTCCCTTTTCGTGTCCTCCCTCTGCTTTCCTGTCTTTGTTTCTCACATAAAAAGATGCAGATTGCTTCCAGCTTTTTGTGACAGGCCAGACTAAATAAAAGTTTGTGACTAGCCACCCTTCCTCAATAATGAAGTCTACACTACTTTTTAAAATGCCAGACATGCCCACATATTCCAAGAAGTTACCAACCTTTATTAAAAGAGTGTGTAATTCAGGCTTGCAGATATTTTAACTCTGAGATAGTACAGTAAGATTATGAGAACCTTTTCTTCTAGGCAGCTGCGGGTCCTTCTTGCAATTAATTAGGTTTCAGCAGGTATCTAAATGCCATCTGCTAATGTAATATGGAGACCGATAGAAATTATGTAAAATAAATCTAACATCTCCGGGATAAAAGTTGGAAATTGGAAGATATATGTAAGTGATAGTGCTGTCATTTTAATGTTCATACTGCAGATTCCGTAAGAGAAGTTACACTTTTATACAATTTCTCTAAGTACGTGTAACGCTTACAAACCAGGTATTACGGCACAATAAATTGATATTTTCTCTACGGGCTTACCTTATCTAATGGTCTTCTTTTACTTCACTTCCTTCTTGTTCCCATAAATAATGCTGTCCTTATTTTAAGTGCACAAAAAGTTGAAAAGAGGATGATCTAACTACCTGTCTTCTTTTGCAGCTTGTACTTCCAGAGTATCTCATCCATGCATTCTTCTGTGTCATGTTTTTGTGTGCAACAGAATGGCTTACACTGAGTCTTAATATGCCATTACTGGCTTACCACATTTGGAGGTAATTTTGAACATCCTTTGGTATAACCTTAATTGTGGCTTTTGTTTTTGGTGTATTGCATTTTGTATGAATTGTTCTACAGGGATTTTCCTGTCCCTTAAATCCTGCTCCCCAACATTACTTGGTCTGCTGGGACAGAGAGAGGCTGTATTCAATTCCCTCCTCCATTCCTTGCTTCTGGAAGATCCCAAGGGAAGCAAGAGAAAGATAACAGTGTGTTGCTTTCTCCTGCTGTATCATCATCAGAGATCAGTTGTGAACTTGCTGTCATTATTCATACTTAATGCTGTTGCTTTGTGCTTTTACCCCCAGAGAAACTGATATAAAATGTAATAATGTTTATGCTTCCATTCAGTAACGTGAAAAAGAGAGGGATCAGGTCAGCACATTCAGAAAGATATTACCCTTCTGCCAGATATTACAAGCTTGCACATTTTTGTTTGTCTCAGTTGAAAGACCATAAGATGATCATAAAGGATGCTTCACTTTGGCTTGAGAGTTAGGCCTGTGTTTCATGAAACTAGTCTTATCCTTTCAGGCTGGCCCTTTGCTCAGTACATTTTGATGTCAGACATTGTGAATGTTGGCAGAGATGAACTGAACATAGAGTTTCCATTTTAATAGTGCATATTCTTTCATTGAGAGCCAGTTTGGTGTAGTGGTTAAGAATCCGGGAGACTGAGTTCTAATCCCGCTTTAGGCATGAAGCCAGCTGGGTGACCTTGGCTCTCTCACACTCTCTCAGCCCAAGGAAGGAGGCAGTGGCAAACCACTTCTGAAATCTTGCCAGGAAAACCACAAGGACATGCCCAGGCAGTCACCAGGAGTCAACGCTGACTCGAAGGCACCAAAAAATTATTTCATTACTGCTGAATTAAGGAATTTTGTGTACATGGAATAAATGACAGGGTAGAAAGCACTACAGTGTGATGATAGGTGTAGTTCCTTGATGAGAAAACTCATTTTTCCGTGACTTTTTAAAATACCAATTCATTTTTTCAGGTATATGAGTAGGCCTGTAATGAGTGGACCAGGACTCTATGATCCCACAACCATTATGAATGCGGATATTTTAGCATATTGTCAGAAGGAAGGGTGGTGCAAACTAGCGTTTTATCTTCTATCCTTTTTTTACTACCTATATGGGTAAGTCACCAGTGTTCTTTTTCTAATAAAATAATGTCTTTCTAGTAGATGAACACAAAATGTAAGAAAGCAAAATAAAAATATAAATATGTTTTTACTGAATTACAGCAGTTACTTTAAAAAATGCTAAAAGGCCTGGCACTTAAAATTCATTTGCCTGAAGCAAAGGAATCCCAACCGGTTTGATCCCTGGGCACATTTAATGTTTTGAGAGCATGTTGTGGCATTTTCATAAAATGGTTGCCATGATGAGGCCAGACAAGAATCACTTGCATGCCATAATATACATTATACAATCAGTTGTGGCCACTTACATTATTTTCTAAGAAAGCCTCTGTAGCCCATGTAGCTTAGAGACCTTTTTGGAAATACATATTAAGTTTGAGGCTATTGCTTCGTTTTGTCGCATGGTGGCTTCCCTAAATAAACACACGCACACCCACACAATGAAAGGGAGAAGGGATCTTGATGAGTGTCCAGCAGCATATTGTTTGATTTATATCCTACTCTTAATTCAGGAATACAAAGCTGCTTCCACCCTTTTTTTTCTCCAGAACAGGACTCCTATAAAGTAGGTTGGGTTGAGAATGGATCCGTATTCAGGCCTCCAGTTCTAGTCCAACACTTTAAACAGCAGTACCATACTGACTCACTGTGTGTCACCTTGTTGATTCACAATAAAGGGGATACAGAATTTCTAATTCTTTTTGGCCCTGGAACAAGAACCTCACCACTGACTTTTAGAGAAAGAGCGAAAAGTATTTGTTCTATTTAGATGTTGCTTACTAAATTGCTGTATTGTGGAAAGAGGCTTTACTTTAGACAAAACCTGTTTTCCGTTTCAGAAATAAAAATAAAGTTGTGCAGTTGTTTAAAATATTAAAAACACTTAAAACATTTTATAATAAGTTGAGATTTGATATCAGAATAACATTAACTACTAACAAGAGAGTTAAGTGGTGAACATCATGTTGACTTTTTCTGGAGATATGCATCCTCTTTAGTATAAAAGGTATTTGCTAGGTTGATTTTTATGTTGTTGGGAATAAACCCTGCAAATAATGCATGAATGATATGGTGGGAACTAGTAATTAACTTTGGTGAATCACTGGAGCTAAAATGATGGCCAGAACCAAAAATTTGGAACAGCCAATACTGTTTTCAGTATATCAGCTTGGGAGAGGAAAAACATGCCATCTTTTCTTGGCAGAGGTTTTTAATTGATGCACTGCAATTATTACCATACTGTTCTACAAGTGAGACTGCTTTTAGGTTTCCTGTGATAGGAGGGATATGCCAGTAAAAATACCTGGCCATAAGCCTAGTGAGCCCAGCGAGGAAGCTTAAAAGTTGGTTACTAGTTGTCCATCTCCAATGAAACAGAACAAAAATTTAACAGAAATATATTTTATTTTTTATTCTTCTCTTTCCAACAGCATGATTTATGTTTTGGTGAGCTCTTAAAGGATGATGTACAACAGACTTGGTTCCAGCAAAGTGCATGCAGAAAAGCCATAAAGCAAAGGATTATCTTTGAAGAAGAAACTGGTATAAAGATTTAGCTATGGAATCTGATGATCATAGTAATAGTAGAGGAAAAATGCCTTCCTCTTCTGTTTTCTCCCGTCCAAAAGCATCTAGTCTTTAATACTCATGGAAAGACTTTTTTCAATTGGGATATTTAAAGTGGCAAGAATTACATATAAATTAATGTAACACAACTGCCTCTGGCTTTTGGACAGTTTTATTCCTGCCCTCCATAAGGATCAGTCGTATCTTCAGTAAAAATGTATAAATTACTGTCCTCAGTATAAGAGAGGATTACTTTTTCTTTTGTTTACTGGACTTTATAGTGGCTCATTTGGATAATGAACCTCCATCTCACTGTCAACTGTAGTCACCATTTCTAAAACACCGAATGCTTTTCTGTATGTTATCTCTTAGGTAACTTCTGTGTGTCACGTAGATGAATACATAAGTACAACTGCAGGAAGAGTTGTAGTTCTATTTTTACTATTAGGATATTGATATTCTCCTGTAATATGCATGGATCAGCATTTTCATATTAACATGAAACATTGAGCTGAATGCTCCTTGCTTTAGTTTTCCAGGTTAAATGGATGTTAGGGAAAATAGAGCTCATTTTTAAGTCATATTTATTACAAAACTTCTGCAACTGTCTCAAACTGCCATACATCTGAAGCCAATATAATAAAAAATCATTTTGAGAGTGCATGGCATACATTTTGAGTCACAAATGCCACATGGTTTGGCAAATTTCTTTGCTGTGCCACATGATAAAAATCTCCAAGAGAGATATTGCTACCAGATCCAAATGTTAACATTTCAAACATAAACAGTTAGCTGTTGAGCAAGCATGGCTACAATTCTCCAGTGGATTGTTTAGCACCTGCTGATTGCTGGGATTTTTACATTCGTAAACTTTGCTCTGGTCCTAACAAAAAGCACTATTTTCAAGCAAGAGCATGGTCTTTGGAACAGGTTATGTATGCTTTCATGCTACAAGAGATTTCTAAATCATACTTTTCAATTTAAAGCACTTTGGGAAATGGATAATCTTGGGAGAAAAAAGAGGAGATCATTAAACTAGACTGAATTTGATTCACCCTGTTGGAAAGCATTTTAATCTATTCATGATGGAATTTCCCTTTACAGTTCAGGAAGAAGGGAGCTACAAGATCATAAGGTCTCTTTTAAGTGCAAATAAGGAAAACTTTATTTCATTTAGATCTATAAAGATGGGTGAAAAAGGAGTGAATATGGAGAACTTTAATTAGAAACAGAGCCTATTAAATACATTTTTGAGCATTTTGAATAGCTTTGAAGCTCACTTCTTTAAAATGGGTTGAGTTTACCAAAATGCTATAAACACATGTGTATCCATATTCTGTTATGAGAGCTGTGCACATGTTTCTAGGAACACTGTCACTATCTTCAATATTAGATTATTTAGGCTAGTGCTTCGTGTCAAATTATGTTCATGTGATTCAGCAGTTTCTACGTATGGAGGTTGCTGCAGAAAACCTGAAATTATCCACATCACTCCTTTAAATATGTGAGATATCCTTAGTGATATATTCACATGGAAAAATATCTCTGTTTTTGGTATTTTCTATCTTTTATAGTAGTACTGAATTTTTACATGAACTTGAATGCTAGCTGCACCATTATGCTGCCTATTTGGGAGACATGTAGCATTTTAAGAATAAAAATAATGGATTGTCATTCATATTATGACCGTTGGTATTGCAACGCATATTACAAAACGCATAATGAGTCACATGCTGGATAAGACCTCTTATCTATTCCATCCCTCCCTTCACCAAAAAGTCTGCTTAATATTTTTTAAAGCAGTGATTGTGTTTGTTCCTATACATCAGTTCGTCAGTTTACTAATTATGAAGTTGTAAAAATGACAGAACTCCTTTGAAAATGGGGGAAAATGTATACTTTCCAAAGCTTAATGCTACAAAAAAAAAAAAAAGGCCATTTATAATAGATAATACTTATACTACTCTTCCATTTTCTCTGCTCCTTTTAAAATATGCTTTCTTGTAAGATGGCTTTGTCTTCCACTTTTTATTGCATGTAAATCCTTCCATTTATCAGTAATACAGTTAGTGGTGAACAGGAGTGAGCTGAGGAAAGGAGCCCTACTCTGGAAAGCACAAAAAATTCCTCCCTGTCTGACAGCCATCATTTACATCCTAAATATAAATTACATTTATATTCTCAGCATTCATAGCTACAGAATGAAAGAGTAATTGTGAGTCATGCATGTGTGCTTGCTTACCAAAACAGCTCTTTTTATACTTGAAGTGGTAAATGGACAGAAGAACAGCAGCAAACAGGTCAAACCACCAAATTCAAACAAGTCTTTGTAGCAAAATAGACCACAGAGTACATCAGCCAAACCAAAGCATAAAACTTTTGCGAAAAAAAAAAAAGATGGCTGGCTGAATTTATATGTACCAGTGTACTCTGTGTATGCTCTTTGTCTGTTGATTGTGGAATATTCAGAGTGCCTTTGAAGATGGAGATACTCCCTGCATATGTAAAGACATCCTGAATCTCAACGTTGGGGACCAAAAGTATGTGCAACACGCTCCGCACCTCAGCAGACCAACCAACCAAATGTGTGCTAATGCTTTTTCATTTGTATCATCTATATGTGAACATGCAAAAGGACTATATCATGGCAGTAAGGGAGGCAAAGCATACCAACTTCTCATTATTTTGTCAGTGAGCTGTCATCAAGCATCCTAGTTTAGGATGACCAAGTCCCTGTTGGGAAGGATCAGTAAAGAAACTTCCCACTTGGCCACTGCAACAAATTTGCGTAGCATTTTGCTGATGAAGTGGCTCACTTTGCCAAAATCTTTACTTCAACTGGGCAGTCTTTGGTGGTAACTAGGGTCCTGTCCTGCCAATTGTGTGGGACTCCTTTTGACCTGAATGGGTGGATAGGGTGCTGCCTGGATGGTTCTGTGCCTAGTATCCTGGTGGTTTCAGGGAGCAGGTAGAGAGGTAACCTCTTGGATCTGGGAGATGATCTGCTGCTTTGCGGAGGGTGATTTACCAATAGTCTTGAAGGAAGCTGCGGTGTGCTCCCTTCTGAAACGGCCATCCCTGGATGCAGCTGGTCTCCAGCTTCCATTCTGGGGGAAGGTTGAGGGTGATAGTGGACCAACTTCACAGCACACTAGAAAAAATGGATTATTTGGACCCTTTTCAGTCAGGGTTCAGGCCCCGGCATGGGGCAGAGATGGCAATAGTTGCTCTCTCGGATGACCTGTGTCAGGATCTGGATGGGGTAGTACACCCTACCCAGACCTGTTAGATCTCTCAGCAGCCTTCAATACCATTGATCATGGTATCTTACTATATGGTTTATGGGGACTGATTGTTTTGCAGTGGTTCTGCTCCTTCTCAGGGGCACTTTCAATCTGTGATGGTGGGGGATGAGAGGTTGCCCCGATATGTGGAGTGGTACAGGGATTGGACGCCTCTCTGCTGCTCTTTGCCATCTATATGAAACCACTGGGAGAGGTCATCTGACGGTTTGGGGGGTGGTAACATCAGCATGCTGATTATATCTAACTTTATATTGCCATTTCAGGCTGTAGAGAGATGCTGTCAGTTCCTTATCCTGGTGCCTGGAGGCTGTATGGGTCTGGGTGAGAGAGAACAGGTTGAAATTGAACCCAAGATGGAGCTGCTGTTTGTACATCAGGATTCTCTGTCAACACCAATGTTATCTCTGCATAGGTGGGCACTATCTATGATGGAACAGGCTCACAATTTGGGGGGTTCTCCTGGACTTATGGCTCCTGCTTTAACAGCTGGTGGAAGCTGTGGCTAGAGGGGCCTTTGCCCAGCTTCAACTGGTATGTTAATTTATGCCCTCATCTGGTGCCGGGGACCTGAGTATAGTAACTCATGCCATCATCATCATCTGGTTAGGCTAATGCAATATGCTTTGTGGAGTCCTCGGTGCTCTCTGAGCTTGATTGTTTGATTGCAGACGTTTCATAACCTGACTTGGTAACATATCAGTGCTAGTGGGTGTGGGGTTTGCTCCCTGTTCATATACAGTAGAATTGAAAAGGGAACACACATAAAACACAACCCACAGTGCCTTCTATTACTAGGGTCCTACAATATACCCCACCAAAAAGCTGCCAGTTTTGGTGTGGGTGTGGTTTCCTCCTTGGTAGTTCCTTGATTAAAGTATTGTTTTCTGCTTGATTGTCTGGTTTGTTTGCCTCCTTGGTAGTTCCTTGATTAGAGTGTTGTTTCTGGTTGTTTGCCTGATGTTAATCCCTGCTTATCTGGGTATAGGCTGCTGGTGAGGATGTGTTCTGGTCTTCTTGTTTCCTTCTTAGCTTTCTTATTGTCTCTTTTGAACGGAGTGTAAATGTGGTTTATCTCTATGTGTCTGTTGATGGCTGATGTGTCTGAGTGCCATGCTTCCAGGAATTCCCTAGCGTTTTTTGGGCTAGGGTGCTCACAGTTTCTCAGTTGAAACTACAGGTGAAAGTAGAAAAAATAGAATATCGTGCAAATGTTCATTTATGTCAGTAAGGCAACTCAAAAGGTGAAACCAATAT